CCGTCGTTGAGGTCGCCCGCCACGATGAGTATCGTGTGTCTATGCTTCCGTTTGCTGGTCTCTTCTATCCAATTGAACAATCTGCTCGTCGTAGCGTAGTACTCTTTCCTGGTCGTCTTGCCCTTGTTGGGTTGCGGCGGACTGTAGTATCCTATGATCAGCAGCGTCTGGTCGTGGTGCTGCAGGGTGATCGCGAGGCCTCTTCCACTGAGCTCGGGCGTCGGCTCCTGGATGTCGATCACCTTAGCCCCTCGCAGTCGTCCCTGCAGCGCAATGATGATGCCCGTGCTGCGGTTGGTCAGTTCTCCTGGTTGCCAGCCCGCGTCGTAGTAGCGTGTGTTGTCGCAGCGGTGCTGCGTGACGACTGGGTCACGTCGTCTGCGTGATGTCCCCACTAGCACGATGATGTCAAAATTGTTGGCCTCCTCGCATATTTCCGCGAGCCTGTCGGGTTTTGCCGAGAGTGGGTTGAAGAGGAGCACAGCGAGAGAAGCTGCGAGTGCCGCCATCATGCGGGCCGCCGCCCCTTCTGTCTGCTCGGTCCGAGGAACAACATTGTGGCGGTCTGGGCTGCCCTGACGATATCTTAGGCCCAGATGGCAGCTAGGAGGAGGAGGAGGAGGAGGAGGAGGAGGAGGAGGAGGAGGAGGAGGAGGAGGAGGACTCTTCCTCCCTCTGCTGCGCTTCGCAGCCCCCTCCCCAGGCCGGCCCCGCGCGCCCGGCACCCATGCTTGCACGCAGCCTGCCGGCGAGGGAGGCCCTGGACCGCCTGCGGCGCGACCCACGCCCACCACCTTCTCCTCCTCCTCCTCCTCCTCCTCCTCCTCCCTCCTCCTCCTCCTCCTCCTCCTCCCTCCCTCTCCTCCCTCCCCTCCTCCCTCCTCCCTCCTCCCTCATCCTTCCTCCTCCTCCTCCTCCCTCCTCCTCCTCCTTCCCGCCCCCCTCTGCTGACTCACCGTGTATTTTGAGCCCTGCACCGCAGGCTTCGGGGGCACGGGGGACCAGGGGACCAGGGCCAAAGGACCAGTCCAACCTCGACGATAAAATGCTGATTTGCTACTACAGCCCCGTGGAAGCCATACGTATCGAGCGATTGGAAGAGATCAGCTGCGAGCTACGGTCCTGAGACGTAGCACTCCGAAGCGCAACATGTAAATGGGCAGGACCAGAGCTGGTACAGATGAACCACTACCCCACCATACGGTACTACAGCTAGGTGCCAAGAAAAGCAAATGGGCCAACAAATTCTGCGAAGTCTGCGTGCTATAAAATAAGAGAGTCGGCGAGCGAGCTCTTCGTGCAATTTACCACCCCGCTGCACAGCTACAAAGGCATACAGCGGGGACTCGCCGAGTTACTAAATTGTACGTCTACACATCTTACGTATGTTATTACACACCCACGCACGCTAAGTACTACGAAGAAGTAGCCTCGGCAATCAGCGAGTGGATTTGGGGCCAATTCGATAAGACAGGACGTCGATAACGCCTGTGGCTGTCCCCGGGACTTTGACGTACAAGATTTACCCCCAGATGCCCAACGGTGGGTGGGGTGCACGACCTAGAGTAGAGAACAACAACGGCCCCTGCTTGCGTACTACGTGCAGCGCAAGTGCCATGAACACCATTCAACACCCTACGAGGTAGGGCCCACCTTTCACGGACGCTCAGGACACACAAATCGCATCGACCACATCTTGCTGTGCCGACGGGGGCCACAGAACTAGTCAAGAACTGCATGACACTACAGATAGCAGGAGAGAGGCTACACAACAACAAAGCAAGAGGGAGCCGAGACACCCTACCTGCGGGGATCACTATCCACACCCCCTCCTCCACTCGCTCATGCCCTCACCACGCCTCCCGACAACAGGAGCAATGAAAGGACGGCCTCGTGGAGTGCCTCAAATGCGGCTACAAGTTAGCGCTACTACTAGTATTACTGCTACTACTGCTACTACTGCGACTGCTGCTACTACCACGACTCCTACTACTACTACTACTACGACTACTACTACTGCTACTACTACTACTAATAATACTACTACTACTACTACTGCTACTACTACTACTACTACTACTACTACTACTACAACTACTACTACAGCTACTACAACTACTACAACAACTACTGCTACTACTACTACCACTACTACTACTACTACTACGACTACTCCTACTATTACTCCTACTACTACTAATACGAGTACGACTACGACGACTACTACTACTACTACTACTACTCCTACTACTACTTAGTAGTAGTAGTAGTAGTAGTAGTAGTGGTAGTAGTAGTAGTAGCAGTAGTTGTTGTAGTAGTTGTAGTAGCTGTAGTAGTTGTAGTAGTTGCAGTAGTAGTCGTAGTAGTAGTAGTAGTAGTAGTAGTAGTAGTAGTAGTAGTAGCAGTAGTATTAGTAGTAGTAGTAATAGTAGTAGTAGTAGTAGTAGTAGTAGTAACAATAGTACTCGTAGTACCGGCAGTACTAGCAGTAGTCGTAAAGGTAGTAGTTGTAGTTGCAGTAATAGTTCTACCACTACTACGACTACTACCACTATTACAAATGATACTTCTTCTATGTTTACTACTACTACTACTACTACAACTACTACGGCGACTTCCACTGCTACTACTACGGCTGCGACTTCGACTTCGACTACGACTACGACTGCGACTACAGCTACTACTACTAATACTGCTACTGCGACCATGCCTACTCCTACTTAGTAGTACGAGTACTACTGCTATTACTACTGCTACTACTACTACTACCACTACTACTACTACTACTACTACTATTACTACTACTACGGATACGGCTTCCAATACTACTGATGATGATACCACTACTTCTACTTCTACTACGACTTCGACTACGACTACGGCTACGACTGCTATTACTACGACGACTACTACTACTGATGCTACGACTACTACTACCACTACTACTTTTACGACTACTACTACAACTGCTACTACTTAGTAGTACTAGCACTAGCACTCGTACTAGTACTTTTAGTAACACCACTACTCAGCAGTAGTTGTAGTAGCTGTAGACATAGTAGTAGTGGTAGTAGCGTAAGTACTAGCAGATACACTACGACGATTATTGCTACTACTACCTCTACTACTACTACTGCTACTACTGCTACTACTGCTACCTCTACTACTACTACTACGACGACTACTACTGCTACTACGACTACTACTACGACTACGACTACGACTACGACTACGACTACGACTACAACTACTACGACTACTACGACTACTACTCCCACTACTACTACTACTACCGTGACTACGGCTACTATTGCTACTACTACAACCACGACCACGACTACGACCACGACAGCTACTACTACTACTACTACTACTACTACTACTACTACTGCTACTACTACGACTACTGCTACCACTACTACAACTACTACGACGGATTCTTCTACTGCTATTGCTACTACGACCACGCCTGCGATTACTACGGTTACTGCCCAGTAGAACTAGTACTAGCATTCGTACCAGTACTATTGCTAGTACCAGGACTTAAGTGGCAGCAGCAGTACTACTGGCAGTAGTAGTAGCAGTGGTCGTTGTAGTTTTAGTGGTCTTACTAATATTACTACTACCGCCTCTACTGCTACTACTGCTACTACTACTACCACTACAGCTACTACTACTGCTACTGCTACTGCTACTGCTACTACTACTACTACTACTACTACTACTACTACTACTACTACTACTACTATTTCTACTGCTACTACTACGGCTGCGACTGCGGCTTCGGAGACGACTACGACTACGCCTGCTACTACTGCTACAACTACTGGTACTGCTGGTACCACGACTACTACTACTACTACTACTACTACTACTACTACTACGACTACTACGACTACTACTACTACTACTACTACTACTACTACTACTACTACTACTACTACTACTACTACTACTACTACTACTACTACTACGACTACGACTACGACTATGACTACTACTACCTAGTATTACTAGTACACGTGGTCCTACCCGGCCTATTCCTAGTACAACTACTTAGTAGTAGTAGTAGTAGTAGTAGTAGTAGTAGTAGTAGTAGTAGTCGTCGTAGTCGTAGTAGTAGTAGTAGTAGTAGTAGTAGTAGTAGTAGTAGCTAGTAGTAGTAGTAGTAGTAGTAAGCAGTGGTAGCAGTACTAGGTAGTAGTAGTAGTAGTAGTTAGTAGTAGTAGGTAGTAGTAGTAGTAGTAGTAGTAGTAGTAGTAGTAGTAGTAGTAGTAGTAGTAGTAGTAGTAGTAGTAGTAGTAGTAGTAGTAGTAGTAGTAGTAGTAGTAGTAGTAGTAGTAGTAGTAGTAGTAGTAGTAGTAGTAGTAGTAGTAGTAGTAGTAGTAGTAGTAGTAGTAGTAGTAGTAGTAGTAGTAGTAGTAGTGGTAGTAGTAGTAGTAGTAGTACTACTACTACTACTACTACTGCTACGACTCGTACTACAACTACTACTACGACTACTACTACTATTACGATTACGACTACGGCTGCTACTACTACGACTACGACTACGACTACAACTTCGTCTTCGACTACGCCTACAACCTAAACTTCAACTACGACTACTTCGAGGTGGAGGAGGAGGAGGAGGAGGAGGAGGAGGAGGAGAGGAGTAGCGCGGAGGAGCGAACTCACCCTTTCCGCCCTGGTCTCGGAGCTCCCCCTTGCTTACAAAGGGCAGGGCGAGCCCATGCGAAGCGGCGGATCGGCATCATCGGCCCCCCAGGGCCCCGCCCAGGGGGGGGCCCAATACCGCACCAGCGCTCCCCGAGCTGCGTCCCGCCGTGGCGCATGGAAGAAAAAAAACATAAAACGTACAGTCGGGACTTTTTTTTTTTTTTTTTTTTTTTTTTTTTTTTTTTTTTTTTTTTTTTTTTTTTTTTTTTTTAAAAAAAAAAAAAAAAAAAAAAAAAAAAAAAAAAACTCTTCGAGCACCCGCAAATAGGCGCGTGGTCATGCTAGAATTCAAGGAAGGAAGGAGGGCGGGAAGGCAAGGCACGTCTAGCGGCCGCACGATGCCCACGGCCTCCTTCACGAGTCGCTCGGGCGTGTTCCCGAGCCGCAAGCGCCGCTCTCACAACTTCGCGCTGTGGGTCCAGCGCTGCAGCGGGGCTGGCCCCGACCGATTCGCACTGCACTACAGCCTGGCTGGCGGGGCCCACGGAAGCGCCGTCCGCGAGCAACTCCTCGAACGCGGCGAGGAGCTCCGCGACATCGTCGCTGGGTCCGTGCGCCGCCGCCGCCTGCTTGCTGAAGTGCGCGGCGTTGAGCACCGCTGCGCCGCGCACAGCCTCTGCCTGCTTGCCTTCGGGCTCCGTCACGCCAGACTCTGGCGCATCGATCGGGTCGAAGAGCTCCGCGGCCTCGCATAGGGCGCCCGACAGCTTGCAGGGGTGCGCCGCGTGATCGCCCTTGGCGCGCTCCAAGGCCGCAGCCGCCGCTCTCGCAGCCTCGCGCTGTGGTTCCAGCAGCCACGACGGGACGCGCACCAGCTCGAGCGATTCGAAGATCTGGACCAGGGCCACCAGCGCCCTCTCGAGGCGAGCGCGCACCAGGGCCCGATCCTGATGCACCTCGGCCTGGCTGGCGGTGCCCACGGAAGCGCCGCCCGCTGACTCCTCCAGCACACTGTGGTGGCCCGCGCCGCCGCACACAGGCTCATCAGACCCAAAGTCGAACGACCCCGTGACATCGAGCGCGGCCTGCCCCAGCTTGTCGAAGAGCTCTGCGGCTGCGCCGCTGATTCCGTGCGCCGCCGCCGCCGCCGCCGCCAGGTTGCCGAAGTGCTCGGCGTTGGGCACCGCTGCGCCGTGCACAGCCTGTGCCTGCTTGCCCTCGGGCTCCGCGTCGCCAGGCACGGGCTCCGTCACGCCAGACTCGGGCACATCGATCGGGTCGAAGAGCTCCGCGGCCTCGCATAGGGCGCCCGACAGCTTGCAGGGGTGCGCCGCGTGATCGCCCTTGGCGCGCTCCAAGGCCGCAACCGCCGCTCTCACAGCCTCGCGCTGTGGTTCCAGCAGCCACGACGGGACGCGCACCAGCTCGAACGATTCGAAGATCTGGACCAGGGCCACCAGCGCCCTCTCGAGGCGAGCGCACACCAGGGCCCGATCCTGATGCACCTCGGCCTGGCTGGCGGTGCCCACGGAAGCGCCGCCCGCTGACTCCTCCAGCACACTGTGGTGGCCCGCGCCGCCGCACACAGGCTCATCAGACCCAAAGTCGAACGACCCCGTGACATCGAGCGCGGCCTGCCCCAGCTTGTCGAAAAGCTCTGCGGCTGCGCCGCTGATTCCGTGCGCCGCCGCCGCCGCCGCTAGGTTGCCGAAGTGCTGGGCGTTGGGCACCGCCGCGCCGTGCACAGCCTCTGCCTGCTTGCCCTCGGGCTCCGCGTCGCCAGGCACGGGCTCCTCGATCGGGTCGAAGAGCTCCTCGGCCTCGCGCGCGGTGCCCGACAGCTTGCTGGGGTGCGCCGCGCCGTCCTGCTCTGCCGCCTCCAGCCGCTGCACGTCGAGCGACTCCGCCCGAGGCTGGGAGGCTGCCTCGGCGAACCGCCAGCCCGCCGCCAGGCCCTGGACGAAGGCCTCCGCCTCCGCCAGCGGATCGGCGGTGTGCCAATCCCCAGGCGCCAGCATAGGGCCCGCGGCACCGGCCTCCAGCACAGAACAGATGGGAAACGTTCCCAAGCCCCCAGGTACTAGGCCCTCTGGGGTGGCACCGTGCAGTTGCCCTTGGGCGTCGAGGAGGTCTTGATGATCAGTGCCTCCCTGACCGCCCAGCCCTGGTAGAGGAGCGCGCTCCGCCGCCAAGGCATCGGCCTGCGCCAGGAGCCTCGGCTCCAACTCGGCCACGTGGAGCACCCGAGCAGCAGGGTGCAGGCCGCCTCCCGCCCACGGACCCTGGGTCTCGAGAATCCCCGAGGCCCCTCGGGCAGCCAGCGCCTCCTCCCTGCCGCAGTCCACTGTGTCCAATTTCTCCACGTCGTCGAACGGCCCCGACACCACAGCGGCGCGTTCCAGCCTCGGCCCGTGCTGGGCAGCGCGGAGCTCGGCAGCCTCGGCCACCAGTATCCGCGCCCCCGGCGCCGCGGCGTGCAGCGCGACGTTGCGGCGCAGCTTCTGCAACCAGGTCGGCGCACGTCCAGCCACCAAGGCCGCCAGCGCTGGCAGCAGGCAGCGGACGCGCGCGCCGACTTCGGCGTCGCCGACGAGCGTGTCAATGGCCTCCTCGGCCTCCAGCCTGCGGCGGTCGGCGTCCGCGAGCTGCCGCTGCAGCCGCGCGACCAGGCGATCCGCCGACGCACGGGCCCCAGCTGCGCCCCTCAGAGGCGCTGCCGAGCCCCCTCCCGCAGCCATCCCAAGAGGTCCCGCGCGGCCGAAGGCGGGCGGGAACACGGCTTGAGCCAAAATGGCTACGGAACAGTCGGGACGTTGACCTAAGGAACCCTGAATAAGGAACGATGCCCCTTTCTCCCATCAGTTAAAATTTGATTTCCCATCGAAAACCTAAGGAACACCTAAGGCAAGCTGTGAAACAATCAAGGAACACGGAGCTCCTCCCCAACGAAAAGGGTTCCTTCTTCAGCGCCCCGACTGTACGGTGATGGCATCGGATAAGGAAGCCTTCGATAAGGAATCCAGGGTCTGGAATCCTGTGGAAAGCCAATCGTGGATTGGCCATGGATATCAGCGCCGCCCTCACCAGATAGGGAACCCTCCAGGGTCTGAAGCCTCATGGGCACTTTCCTTCACTAACGCCACCGCCATAAACTTTTGGCGCTTCGCGCGAATTTCTTGTATCTGCGCTGGGCCCCCTTTCCCTGGCGCGCGGAGCGCGCCAGTGGCGGCGCCGGAGGCGGCGCCGGGGGGTGGGGTGGGCCAGCGTGGATCCAAGAAGTCCGCGATGAGCGCCAAAAGTTGATGTTTAGAGCGGAGGCTAGTCCACAAGAAGTCTTCCACAAGAAACCCAATCCTGAAACCACAGGATGTCCATCGATGTTTGGTGTAAGAGCGTCACGCTTTCCATTGCAAAACCATCGAAACCCAAGAAGCCCAGGGCACCCTGGAGGCAAGCAGGGTGTTCCTTGGCATGGGCCTCCACTGTAGGGGGAGAGGGGGAAGGCTCAACTTAGGAGGAGGCTGCTTCTTAGAAGGCGCCTGTCGTACACCTACAGACAAGGCCCGCGACTTCTAAGAAGCAGAAGTGTTTCTAAGAGGCCTTCCCCCCTCCCCCTACCCCCCTCTGCCCGCGGCAGACATGACCCCGGGCCCTGGCGCGCGTGATGAGAAAATTATGTTCGCGCCCCACGGGGTCGGTTCATCAACGCTGGGGGAGGGGGGGGCGTCATCTACTCATCACAAGCTGACATTGCCGTTGTTGTCAGGGGCCCTCCTCCCGAACCTGACGTTCTTGGGCGTGGTGGGCTATCGGGCCCCTATCGGCGATCAATGGGCGGGCGATCGGGGGTCGATGCATCCTCCCATGAGCCCATCCCCCCCCTAACTTTTGGGGTTCCAAACCCGTGTGGTGACAGACCGCGCAGCGACCTCACCGCACGGTCCGTCATCGCGCTCGGTTTTGGAACCTTGGAGGCCCCAATCGCCCGAGACATCCTCGGAGAGCGACCCCCTGGCCCCACAAACCGTGCGGCCACCCCGAATCCCCACGGACTCACTGCACCGTCTTGGGCCCTGGGCCGACGTTGCCCCTGACCTCGCCCCGCCCCGCCCGGGCCCCCCGTCGCTGGGGGGCCCGGAAAGGGGCACCAACACCACAGGAGGCTGCCTCCACTGGGGGAAGACGAGCTTAGACCATACTGCGTGCTCGACCGTGGACCCCTCCTTGCCCCTCGCTCGTGGGCCGTCTTCGGCGATCTTCGGGTGGTCTTCGGCGGTCTCCAAAGGTCTTCGGCGCGAAAGCCGGATGGCTGCGTTCAACACGGGGTCCATGGTCGAACACTTACAATTTGTGGCGTTGATGGTGACACTCTGGACACCTCTACGGACCGAGTATATGCGACCATCGTGAGACCGGGAGCATCTTGCCTCGGTGGAGGTACACCGCCGACTTTGGTGTTGGTGCCACCTCTAGGCGTGCAGGCGGCCAAGGGGTCTGAGCCGCTCCGGGTGGGCCCCGAGAAGACCGGTCAAGAGAAGGACATGACGCCAAATCTGCCCAACATCGGGCGCCTGACCCCTCCTGGGGTCTGTCTGTGAGGGGGCCCAGGGACACACAAACAAATACGCACAAATCCTAGAATCCCCTATATTTTTCAATATGTTCTGGATGCCTGTCTTCCCCCCCACTTCCCATAACTATTTTCCTATATTTTCCTGGGAATCGATGGTTAGTTGTGCCTGTGTCCTGAGTCTGGTGCAGAGTTTCACCCCAGATCTGATTGTGACGGGTCCGGGGCCCGACAAGGCCCCGCGCAAACCCAAAAAAGCAAAAAACCGTCCGGAACCCTGAACCTCGAATCTCCCCCCCCATTCCCGCTGGCCGGAACCACTCCTGGACAGTCTCGGGCCACCTCGAACCCCTCGCTGGCCCAACTCTTGGCCTCCAGCTCGGCTCTGGACGCCCGAAATGGGTACGGAAAGAATGGGTAGGATGCCGAACAAGCAATTCTATACAAAACCGACAGCGGCCGCTGTTGGCCAGGCGGCCTTCAGTCTCAATTGCGCACCGTTCGCGGCGACAACGGCAGCGACTCCTGTTCAAAATGCGAGGGGACTGCTGTCGGTCTGCTAACTTTTCGTACACATCTCGCTCGTGCTGACCTCGGGTGGGGCTGGAATCGCCCCTGGCCCGAGGTGCCCCCAGAGGGCCCTAAGGGCTTCAAAATTTAGCGAAAGGCTGGGGACACCTTGGGCCAAGGGGCACCTCCGACTCCAGCACCGTGGCGCTCCCGGCCTGCCCTCCGACGGGGGGCAAATTGGGACGAGGATAAATCTGTTCCAGAGCGTTGCTGCGGAACGCTCTGTGAAGGCCGCGGCGCCCAAGCCATCCTCCAGAGCCGCCAGATCTCAGAGATCCCCCCATTGTCCGTACCCGAGGTTGTCCGCGCCCTTGCTTCGTCTGATGCCCTCGCGGCCGACCCCCCCGCGGCGCGCCGCGGGCGCCTGCCCGCCCCGCTGGCGCATCGCCGCCCGGCCGCTGCGGGCCTCTGCTGCGCCGCGGCCGCGGCTGCCGTGGGCGGGCCCGTGGCCGCGGGCTCCCGGGCGGCGGCCGCGGCCGTCCGGGACGGGCCCGCGGCCGGCGGGCCCGTGGCCGCTGGCCCCTGGGCGGTGGCTGCGGCCGCGCGGGGCGGGCCCGCGGCCGCTCGGGACGGGCCCGCGGCCGCTCGGGGCGGGCCCGCGGCCGCCGGCCCCCGAGCGGCGGCGGCGGCCGGGGGCGCGGCCGCGGGGGGCGGGCCCGCGGCCGCCAGCCCCAGCGGCCGCTGGGGGCGGGCCCGGGGGGCGGCGGCGGCCGCGCGAGGCGGGCCCTGGGCCGCTCGGGGCGGGCCCGTGGCCGTCGGCCCCCGGGCGGCGGCGACGGCTGCGGCCGCGGGCCTCTGGGCGGCGGCTGCGGCCTCGGGGCCAAGCATGCGACGCCCGGGTTTTCGTCGTGCGGGGTTCGGGCGCGGGTGGTCATGGGGGGCGACCGACATGGAGGGTGGAGAACCCAGAGATGATCGCGTCTTTCAAACAGCAGGACGGGAGGTTCTTGGCCAAGTTCGGTCCTTGTCGGGCCTCACAGGGCCCCAGGGCCGTCAAAAAACGGCTCAAGATGAAAAACCAGCCCCAGGACTTCTGGGGACGCCGTCCTGAACAAATCAGGACGTCGCATGTCTGGGAATGGAGGGTGGAGAGCAGGGTCCTGAAGGGGCGTTCTTGAGCCCCTTTTTGGGCCCCTGCTGGCTTCCGAAGGGGCCGACAGGGCCCCTTGATAGGCCCCTTTTCTTTACCTCCATGTTGGTCACTCCCCATTGCCACCCGAACGAGGGACGCACCGAAGTCCCGAACCTTTGCCTGAGGCCACCTTTCCATCCGGGGCCGTTCGTTTTTTTTGTTATGGGGGACGATCCCACCTGGGCCTGGCGAGATCCCCGGGGAGGCCGAGAACAGCCAGAACCTGCGGACGGGATGTGTTTCAGGACGGGACATGTCTCCTCCTCTATCTCCTCCTCCTGCTCCTCGTCGTCCTCGTCCTCGTCCTCGTCCTCTTCCTCCTCCTCCCCTCCTCCTCCTCCTCCGCCTCCTCCTCCGCCTCCTCCTCCTTGCTGCGCTCGAGGCACAACACGTACCCAGACCGTTGCGCCACGGACCTCTCCCAGTGTGCGTTCTGACCAGCAGTTCCAGGACGGATGCGTCTAGAGGAAGAAGAAGAAGAAGAAGGGCCATAAACACCATGTAAACTTTCGGAGCTGCGCGCGGAATTCTCAGATCTGGAGCGCCCCAGTTGCTTGCATCATAGATCCAAGAAGTCTGCGAGGAGCTCCGAAAGTTTGTCTTAAGGTACTGTTTCCGATCATGATTTGGTCATAACGTCGGCCCCCGAAGATCTCGACCCACTGCCCGGGACCGGTTCGTCATCCCGAGTTGTTCTTTGACGCTCCCGGGGCCCGGTGCAGGCCTCCAGAAGGCCCAAACTAGCATTCTCCGAGGATCGATCGAAAATCGAGGATCGATCGAGGATCGAGGATCGAGGATCGAGGGAGGATCGAGGTTCGAGGATCGGAGGCCCGCCCAAGAGCCGCTCAAGAGCCCCAACACGCGTCCGAGAAAAAAGCCTCCCCATTCTTCGAGGCCCACGGGCGCCACGTCGGCAACCGGGAGGGCGGCTCCGCCTCCGCCTCCTCCGCCGCCTCCTCGTGTCATCCCCCGCATCCTCGTCCCACTATAGACCGATTCGTCCTCCCTCGTCCTCCTCGTCCACCAACTCCTCCTCCTCCTCCTTCTCCTCCTCCTCCTCCTCCTCCTCCTCCTCCTCCTCCTCCTCCTCCTCCTCCTCCCCCTCCTCGTCCACCTCCTCGTCCTCCTCCGCCTCCTCGTTTCATCCCCCTCCTCCTCGTTTCATCCCCCTCCTCCTCGTTTCATCCCGCTCCGCCTCCTCCTCCTCCTCATCGTCCTCCTCGTCCCACCACAGAACCTCCGTCGCGTTGTTGTTCGTGTCTCGAGGAGGTTTGGGCGCACGGGCAGCGGTATCGGCATCGCTTCCTCTCCTTGTGGCAGGGCCGCTGCCTGGCCGCAACGTCTCGTCGTCGTCGTCGCCGTAATCGTCGTCATCGTCGCCTCGTCGTCGTCGTTGGCGTCCTCTGCGTCGTCGTCGTCGTTGGCATCGTTGCCGTCATCGGTGTCGTGGTCGTCGTCGTCCT